AGACATTTTATGCTTGAATACGTGTGGATGATTCCAAGAATTTGTCTTTGAAGTGGAACATACGTTGGCTAGCTATTGTTTATAAACACGGACGGACGTTTCCACCACTCTCTCTACGACAGTGGATTCAGAAAATCGCAAATACAACTCTAAGCTATCGGATGTCAATGACATTCGCGTTTAACTGGAATTGAATACCTGAGTACGTAATAAATTCCCCGCTATTTTCTAGCACCGAATCATTTTGCATAAGAACTCTACCTCCTTTGCGTGTTTATATGCCATAAACAATATGGTGGGGTAGGATTCGAAATTTGAATGCAATTGATATGGAGGGAAGAAGTGACGTCATTATTTTAACAATGATTCACTTATTATGCTGGGGGATTCAGATTGACAATTGTATTTGATTAAGCAAAGTCCAAAGCTTTGGTTAAGAATGGGAATTCTTACATAAAATTGTAATATTTATCCCTTCTAATATTAAATTAATGTGCTATTACTAATTACCAATTATAATTTGTAATTATTGCACTGTTATTAGGTAACGGTAAGTGATTGGATAAAATCTAATTAAATCGATTAAATACAGATGTATATAACATGTGTTGTTATGTAATAATAATTTATCTTCATATCAGAGACTGTTAAAAGACAAAATATTGTGTAGAGATACGAGTATGACAGGTCAACTTAAATATCTCGGCCACTAATGCGATGATAATGAAAATTCCTTACAATACATTGTAGTCTATGAACGGTGAAAATAAACTAGAAGGAAGCGCTAGTTATTAAGGACTACTGAGGTTACGAAGTTAGGTGAAAATCCCAAGTTCCTTTAAAAACCTTTATGAAACTTGCTTCGTGAGAATACTCAGCGTTCTTGCAAAAGGGCAGTCCATTGCTGGACTCTGGGCTTCGTCTACATTTCGGGGTTTGTCATTGCCTCCACGCTTGGGAGTCGGGTCGAAGGTCGTTATCAAAGATATTCAGGTTTGTCAGACAGAGCTACTGCCTGGTTTCTGTTAAATGTGTATGTCCTTTAGTCAAAGTCAAAATTATTTATTTCAATTAGACCAGGAAGGCAGTGTTGGACGTTAAAACAAAATGTAAAGAAAAATGTCCGTCTCGGTCAGTCCTCTACTGAATCTATTTGCTCGTTCCAAAGTGTTGATTCCTATTGAGAAGAAGGAGCAAGAAACTCCACATTAGTCTGCTATTACGACATTCGTAGGAAGAATAGGGATGGCGAAAAATGTATTCGGTTCTGTCGTCACCAAACGATAACAATGAATATAAATATTGCACTGTAATTAGTAAAAAATACAATAACATATCGTGTTATAATTTCGAAGTTATGACACAATGCAATTTGTTTTCTTTAAACAAAGACCACGTGGTGAGTCAGTGGTCAAAAGAACCGAGTCAGTGTTTTTTAATAATATCTGTTATTACAAAACAAATCAATGATTAGTGTCTTAATACTTTCAATTGTTAACTGATATTATGCTTCGCTTGTTCTTTCTTAAATGCAATTACAGGACATTAGTCGCATTGGCCTAGGTCTACAAAAGTTCAATTTTTACATGGCGTGAGAAATCGACCATGAAGTTACTACAATAAGGGTCGAATTATCGACTTTTAATGCTTTCATGGCTACCAATCTTTAATCTGCTTACAATTAATGTAATTGTTTCATTCATTAATCTGTTATTAAACGTTAATAATCGGAGTTTTACACAATCCTATTGTCATACTATTCATTGTTTTAGATAATCGTCCCAAATAGTAAAATGATTAAGTTTTGGCTCGATTGGTACCTCACAATAAATAAAGGCAGTTAATGAGGTAGATTTAAAAAAATGGCACATCATGTATTGCTTTCCATTTTATCTGCTGACGCAAATCAGCCAACAGTATAGCACTGTATTTGTAATCAGTAATTACACTAAATTGTTTATATACGCCAATACATAAATAGGATTACTTCAATCTTGATTGACAGACAACATTGTAAGGATCTTTAGATCATTAATTAGGTATTTCGATAACAACCTAAATAATTTGGTGAGATTAATTTTGTAACTATTATTAGATTTATTGTTCTCTAAGATTTTCGTTTAAATGGAAAATGTATTTATAAATTCCAACTAATTAGTTTGAACTGAATATTTTAAGCATTTGAGTAATTATTTTCGAATTTGCTAAAATTAAACCTATCTACCTCTATTTCCAAATGAATTACTTCTTAGTTCATTAGTTTTATAACCTACAGCACTTGATGATGGCAGGAAAACCCGTAACACATAATTATATTAATAGAGGTATACTGGGTATTCCACTTGAACATTTCTTAAGTCGTAAGTTTTATTCAGCGGAAACTATTTATAATAACTAAGCAAGATAATATCTGGGATTATTCTCTTGCATTTTTAATAGAAGTACCTAGTTGAAAATTAATAGCGGTGTTTCAGTTTTATTTACCTGTTTGCGACAATATAATAACGGTGTAAAGGTCGAACTAAACAGAACAGTCGGTGTATTGTTTTCTAGGTAAAAAGTGTGACGAGATAAGGTGCTGATAGATGTGGATACTGAACGAGATAATTCGAATCATGTTTTAGTATTTACATTTCCTTATAGCAAATGTAACAAGTATGTAAATAACTGATTATCTAATAGATACGAAGCAACAACTGCAAGTTACTTAACGTTTTTTCCTTGGGTTTCTAATAACAATAGAGCCGCACTAAACTGCAACCAGCCCCTTTTTACCTGAACCTTGGCATTCTTAGAATCAATCGAATTCCTCAATGAAGATAAAAGCTAAGGGTGATAATAGTCAGCAAACAAATTTCTGGTGAAAGAATTCGTCAAAAAAATTGTCGGAGTATTTTTTTAAACTCCCCATTAGTGAAGATTTGGGCTTGTTCTTTTTTGTTACTTGTTCATACAATTTTTAATGAACATTCTTGTTAATAAGTAAGATATGAGTATGTTGTTATAGTATTATTACATTTAATGAGCAATAAATCATTCGGTAGCAAGAAGAAACAGCGACTTTGGCAGCGCTTTCACGATTTCACGACGCACTTGTAAGGCGAGGAGAGATACAAGAATCATAATTAGATATATGATCATATTATTCATTTCATATTTGTTTCAAATTATTCTTAAAATGTTTTCTGGTAGTTCGTTAACCCAAGACCGAGTAAACATATTTGTTTTTTCAAATATTACCACGGATTCACTTTCAAATTCCAGCAATCCTACAAATATTAGAGGCGATGATTGATGCTCCATTTCTGTGGTCATTTCTCACTTGTCCATAAAGAATGGATGCTTATACTTTAACAAGATTGGCAAATAACTCCTGTTGGACAGGCAATGATTTCATATTTTTACGATATTTTAAATTACACAGACGTAATAGCATATAGATAACCCATTAACCTAAGGTTTTGTTGTGGCGAGTTAGTAATCTTGTGACACTTACACACATATAGTCAATTTTATTTTTTTATTTATTTATTTATTTATTTATTTAAGTTCTATACAATTGCATAAGGAAGACTTAATGCTAACAGCATTCTCCGCCAGTCATCCTTTGGGTAGTGCAGAAATGTATGTGGTAGGTGGTAAGCTGCAAAACTGTTATGAGAAATAGTGGTAATTATCCAAATTAAAAAAAAAGGGTATCAAAAGCATACATAAAATACGTAAATATAATCGTATAGATATATATAATTATATATAATATAAATATCATTATACATATAAATATATTTGTGACTCGTATATGAATTTGTCCTATGTTACAACAAGATGAAAAATTATGAAAGATGTTATGAAACTGCCAGCTTTCCGCTAATGTACTCACGCGCCCTCCGCTTGAAACTCAGACGACTGGTTGCGGTTCTGACATTCGTTGGAAGCGTGTTCCAGAGAGAAATGACTTGAATGAAGAAAGAAGAATTTTATGGAGCATTCAAGAAAAAAATCTTATGTAAAGGAGGAGGAAAACTAATGCTCCTCGAGCGACCATCACCATAATTCATCATCCTACCATTAACATAAAGAACTTTATCTACTAACGTTGTTATTTAATGATTTTCCTCTACGAGGAACTTAGCTAAGTTTAGAAATAACTACCACGAACACAGAATGTTAATAAACACACCATTAGTAGGATATTAGACATCCTGTACATGTTTTAAGACTTAAATATATATCCTTAGATGTGATTATTGCATAACCGTAAATAGATATTTCAGATAGGTCTACGCCATGTTTATCCTGATCATTAAATATTCTACACAGATGCAATTGAGTGTACACTTGGAAAATTTCAATTTGAGGGGTTTTACAGCTGAAATCTTCACACCGTATGGAAAGAATGTTGAGGGCAGCACGTGCGCCTAGATTACTACTTGTACCAAATTGTCCTCGAGAAAAACTCGTCGCGCATTGCAAGTTCTGGTTTAAATAAAAGGCAATACGTGTTACAGAATACGCAGACATATGTGTTACGTGGTACATGTAAGTACATAAAATGCCAACGGTAATGGGAATGTGTTTAAGTTTACAAGCGTTTGGTGTACAAACTAGTGTCGCCGTCACCGATGTGATCGTGTGACATTTGGTAGAGTCATTGTTGTCAGCATGGTACATAATGGGTTGGCACTACTACAGAACTACATGATGCTACATTAAAAATAGCTTACTGCGTTAACTTGGATATCATGTCGTGGTAGGTGAAATCATGCATCCGTAGCTTTCACAAAATTTTATAGACTTGTTATAAGAGCGAAACCCTGGGATAAGCTGGGCTTGAACAAAATGAAAATGATATGGATTAAGCGGGTGTTTACGGGTAATTAAGTATAATATATATGAGTATTTACGTCACCGCCGCGGCTGAGCACCGCGGCCACCGGTCACACGGACACATGGCCGACGCATGCGATACAATGATAGGTTAGAAAATGAACTCTACTCACCACAAAGTGCTGTTCCATATTCCTTCCAATGTGAGCGGGTTTTGGCTGTCATCGCAATTCTTGTAGCAAAGACTTCTAGTTAATTATTGCGCGATTTGGAATGAGATTATCTTGAGCACTGAATTTACTTTATATATTAAAAATAATAATATTAAATAAAGTAAAATGAATTCATCGTAACGAATATAAATATTAAAAATACGGAGAACTAACTAAATATCACAATAATTATAAATATATTCGATTAAATTAAATGGTTTTGTAAACGAAACGTTATAACCGATTGGGCTTCATGTTGATGGTTTATTTGTTGGCGGTGCCTTGCTTTTTCATAATCGCGAGACGAACGCGTGAGTGTCGTGGTATCGCGACGGCGACGAGTGAGCAACTGAACGAAACCGCACGATAAAGACGCGAACGAACTAATCGCAACGCTCCAAGCGGAATGGAATGAGGCAAAACGGCGCGGGCGCACGCTTTTGCTCCTTGTTTATCGGGCGGTGGAGTAGTTCTTGTAAAGATAAGAAGAAGGTCGATAACGCGGCGAGACACGCGGGTGACGCCGCGCGCTGCGACTGCAACCACGCTGCCGACACTGCCCTGCTCTCCGCACTCCGAATATTTGTTAACACTCGTTTATTTATAGACTATATACTACGAAAATAACACTGACAAACGTTAGACCCGTGCGATGCACGAGACTAGTTTTATAAACGACTCTTGTCCACTGATAATCGGCTCTGTCTAGTTCTCTGCCTATATAATTAATAGGTTTTGTATTAAATAATTACTACTATTCTCCGTTTACCTACATTTAGTTTAACTACCCAAACTGATGGATTATAGGAATCTAGAAATCGATTAATAGACCATTAGTAATCAAATACAAATACAACAAAATCATTCGTTGAAAGCGTGCAATCATTTCAATTTCAATGGTCACATCCAAAACAGCCTATTGTACAAAATATTTTCAAAATTTGAGTCATGTGAGGCAGCGGAAGACTTGCAGAACAGTACTTTTACCACGAGTCAAGGCAGTGCATCGATTGCATGACGTGATCTGACATAGATCGAGATGTCACCGTCCAATGCGACACTTGCGTACGACACTAATACCACTTCTCAGCAAATCCGACAGCATCACCGACCTAAAATAACTTCCAAGATAATAAATGTTTTCTCAAATCCTATGATGCTTGTACGTTTCAAAGAATTTTCAATTTCTTCTTTTATGATAAACATGATAATATGATATGATAAACATGAGACAGCTCCTACATTTCATTAAGCTTCAGTCTTTAATCTCCGTGTATTAGATTTTTTTTGTTTAAGTTGCCAATATGTTGATGTACTCATACATGGAAGGTATATGGGGTTTTCAAGTTATATTGGTTTTTCATCCCTTCCTCTATGTGTTTGGAAACTTTGGTTTAGGCCATTTTTTGTTCAAAAAGTAATTTGTTTTCAAGGACAGACCCTAATGTTACTTACATACTTATGGCCACCATGTCTGTTTAAGTCATACTGATTTATATGGAGTAAAATATCTACACTTGTTTTGTTAATTAATATAAGTCCTTGGATACATTACTAGTTGTTATAGCTTGTAAAATAATTCAAATTGCCAAGCGCATTGATACTTTTTAAGATAATTTATATAGATAAAAACAGTTCGTAAGTCTGAGGTTGTGGTGGCTCGGAAGTTTAATTGTTACTTATGCACGAGGGTTCCGGTTCGAAACCTACCAACGGAAAATACCTATGTGACGTTTGCCGAGTTATATGTATTTTGTAAGATTATTTAGTCATTACTGACAAATGGTGAAGGATAACATCGTGAGGAAACCTGGATTTATATTTTCTAATCATAAGTTTAAAGCCAACCAGTATTTGATTGATTAATTTAAAGGTACGAAAAGGATCAAAACGAACCAGCATTCAACTAAGATTTATTTTGGAGAACTGGATGGTTAGATTAATTGAGTAATTTGGCTAGCAGCTAAGGAAATTCGTATTCAGTTCTAAATTTAGGTGAATTATAACTAGGTAGTGCCTGATGCATCTTACTCGCAGTATGGTGGAGAGGCACCCTCTACCATAAAACACCCACGTGGTATTTTTGAATCTGGCCCAGTAGCCCATAACTAGGTTTTATAGATATTCGAAATTGAATTAAAAATGTTCATATAGCTAGCTGGTATAACATAATTAACTGTTGTTACTAAAATATATTAATAATTGAAGGTTGCAAGGATTTAATGTAGAAATATTCTACGTTAAAATTTTTGGACTAACCCGAAGGAAATTGATCTTATTCTGGTATACGGACAAAACAATTTAATTGCCACTAATTCTTCCTCATGTGATCTTGAACATCTAAAGTATGAAGGTCAAGTAATTAACACGAAGCGCCTTCAAGGACACGGTTGGATGTTTTTTGCATTGCACAAAACGTTGGAGCGCAAAAACGCACCGTAGTGAAAGTACCTACAAATCTGAGGGTCATTGAATGACTAATAAAAGTAAATAGAATGTTAATATTAGACACGACTAGTTTTCCGCTTGCGGTTTAAGTCGCGCGGATTTTAAAATAACTACTTCGAGTAAGTCCCATGAGTTCCTTAGACCTTTCTTATTCTTTTTATTTATTTTTTCTTATTCTTTATATAAATTTTTTGGCTTAGGAACAGGGTGGTTTATTTATAGTCTGACACTCCCTCCCGCCTTACGGAGGCGGGAGAAGTCATTGGATGATTTTCCCCTTAAAAAAAGATCTTTCCTGTGATGTTAGAACAAATCTGTCCAAAGCCGAAGTAAAAGTAGTTTCAAAGCCTATTTCATGCAAACAAACAAATGGGAATCTTTTCTCTATGATATTAGTACTCAAGTTTAGACAAGGCTTCAATGCTTCAGAAAAGTAATTAAAGTCTATGTTAATAAAATTAACTGCTGACGTTGACACGTAATTTGAAAACAAAATTATGTCTGTTACACATGTAGAATATTTGGCTACATTCCATTAATTAAATATATCGACACGGAGGACATTCGTGAGGATGCAAGGGCTGGCTTATTTGGCAAAAGTAATTCATTTCGAAACTATTTCTATGAATAAATGCATTCACATTTCAGGTACATGGCATGAAAATAATTACGTTGGCAAGCTTAATGCTTATCCATTTTTGATTTTAAATTAGTAAATCCATTTTTTAAATACCTACACGCTGTTTTAATTTCTTTGTGGTTTCAAGCACGTGGTATTTTCTTAATAAGTAATGTTTAATTATAGGTATTATAATAACCACAGCCTTTCGTGAGAATAGAGCTATTACTCAAACTAAATAAGTGGCGCATACATGAGGCTTTAACACATCTATGTATAACAAACAAACAAATGAATAACCATTGTTTAATTATATAAACACCTATGTTTTCCTTTCTAAATAAGAGACTAGAATTTCCCAAAACATGTATGAAACAAATATTTATTATGCATCCCGAATACTATAGGAATATCGCAATAAAAGTACATAATTTTACTCAATGAAAAGTAACCCTTCTGATAGTAGAATAGTTTCCGGATCGATCCAGTAGTTTCGAAGCCTACACACACACAAACAGATTAACAAATCTTATTAACTGTTTATAATTATTAAATGTGCTTGTAATAAAAATAGATTATACCTAGGTTGTTGGGCTATCCCCAAAAGAGGCTTATAAGCTCATATTAAGAAATAACACATACTTAATAAATATAGGAGATTCACTCAATTTTCCTGTTGACCCCGTTCGTATTTACATGGATGTAAGAAATATTTCAATACTAGTCTACAATGTAGGTAGGTATATGTACAAGTACATATGTAGATACAATATATGTATGTACGTACGCGTTCATTATAACAGGTAATTCCTTAAGATGTTTTCTTAGAATATCTGTGTGATGTACTGTACTATATGTACATACAAAACATTAATCATGAACTCGATTACTGTAAAGATTTGAATAATGTGGTTAATTGACCAGTGATCATAAACTAAGGGCTATTTTTTCAATGCTCAGTTCAATTTTAACAGAGGAATAATTTTGAACATTTGATAATTCCTCCATACTACAACCTGTCAACTGGCAATTTTATTCTACAGTTAAGAATTAACTATACATTGAAAAATCAGCCCTAAATCATAAATGTAATAAGACTTATAATTGCAAATTGTCAAAATCAAAAACAAAACTTGTTACCATCTGTAATTATGGAATTAGTGATATGCAATTTTGCATCTATTGTAATAATAGAATAAGGCCTGGTTTGGTTTGGAATAGCAACTATTGTAATAGCAGACAATGACACCTGGCAACAGCAATTTTGAGATTTTGACTAAAATACCAAGGTCCTGGGATTGTGTGTGGCGCCACCTTTTTTACAATAGAACTGATAACGTAATTATGGTTACACCTTTAGGACTAAGAATAGGCCAAGCTTATTGTAAGCCGTAGTAACAAAACTAATGATGGTACCACTTTTTCATGGAAACGTTCAAGCCTAGTTACATAAAAAGTTAAAAATAATCGTATTTATTTTTAATTGCTTATCGCAAAGTAATGGTAACACGGCATGTGAAAGTCTGAACGAATAATTTATTTGTCATTGAGTTTAAAAAACCAGCCAACACCAATCCGTTTATAGATAAAGCCACAAATATGTGGAAACTAGTCTGAAGTATATATTTACCTTTCTTCATGATTGACCAATAAACTTCTTTGGGATACATAATGTGCCTATAAAAATAAAAAGTTTTTTACAAATTATGTTTATTTTTACGATGTCAGTAAATGTAATGCATTTACTAAATTTTTAATTAATTAATTTATGGTTTCTACTATCAATTAATTAATTATAAATGTATATGTGTAGCATATATCTTGTAGTATAGTAGTAATAAAAATCATCCATCATCGTACCACAAGACAATCGGCTAAGCGTCACCGATTTATGGTAGATGTACCACCAACACGCACGAAGCATTTCGCATCAAGCTTCCTTGTAC